TTCTTTTTACTGATTTTTTTTTTCTTCAGTAAGCTTTCTTTTAACTAACAACAGTGTATTCCGCTAGGCTGATAAGACAGTGGAATGTTTTTCTAACTACTGAGGCTTCAAGGTCGCACCTTCACTCTGCCAGCTCCAACACTAAGGGGAGAGCTGTGACAGAAGACAACTTCCTTCCTTCTTCTTCTTCCCTTCTCTTCCATCCATGGTCGGCATCCAGGGAGGATTCTGTTCATCCATCACTGTCGACCGTTAGGCTCGAGCTCTCCTGACCCTCTTCCCTCTGTGCTTTCTCCAGCAGCAGCTCCGGGATTCCTCGGGACTCTTCCCAGTTCAGGGAACTGCTGTGGGAGTTTCTGGGAGTGGGAGGAGGCTAGAGGATTTTGCTCATACCAGAACATATTTGTATATAATTGTATATATTTTCTTGTATCATTTATTAGTGTTTAATTAAAGCTGTGTAGTTTAGTTTTTAATCCAGCCAAGTCTCTCTCTTTTTCTCTCTCTCCTTCCCTACGGGGGCGGGGGGGGAGGGGATCGAGAGCATTGTTGTTGGACCTGAGTCAAACTGTGACAGTAGGAAACATCTCCTTGGCTGCTTGTGTGACAGATCATTGGTCTGGTCTTCCTCGTCATTGGAGGCCATAAAATTCCATAGAAGGGAAGCCATGCTGTTCACAGTGCTTGTTGGTGTGTTTGCTCATCCCTTTACTGAAAAATCATTTAACAGTGATACTAATCAGGAATTACCTTATTTTCTACATGGGTCATTGCAGTGTTGCACATATAACACAGTAACATATACAAAGTTGCATCTTCAGTACTCAGTATTTAAGTACCTGTTTCTGAATAATGCCTGCTTAAATATGTGCTTCTGTAGGAAAAAAACAAAACTGGCCAAACCCACCTCACTGGGTCTTACCTGAATATATTCATCGATTCAAAACATGACAAAGGGATTTAATTTGTTCTGCAGGTGGTCTGGCTCCAATTTGAAGAACATTTCCTTTCATTTGTGTGAAAGCAGGTTGTTTTTCAGCTGGAGTTTTTGTATTTACATACTATATTTTTCAACCCCCATATTGAATAAGTTGTTATCATGAGGTGGATGTCTTTTGACACCACGTAAGTTAAAAGAGAAAAGCTAATCTAAGACAGAACACATTCCTTCATCAAATTAGGTTGTTGCTGACTGTGTAACATTAACAGAAAGTTTAGCAGAGAGAATCTTGTGAAATGCCCTTCAGAGACTGTCAATACTATTTTTTCTTTGGAAACTGGGTTAAGAAATACTTCCTTTCATTGCCTTTTTCTTCTTTTTAGCACGTCATTTTTAAGACACGTAAATATCTCTTTATTAAGTATCTGGGAAGTACGCCATTGAAAGTGTACATTTCAAGTAGGCATTTGGCTAAAGGATGTCCAGAAGAACTAGAAAAGAGAGGTAACAGAAATGGATGAAGGTGTATGTTTGATATCATACAAAGTTCTCACATAATGCTTTTACATTTTTTAATTTTTATTATAATTACTATTGGTTTTGTTATTATTATTACTACACTTCACTGTGAGGGCGGTGAGACCCTGGCCCAGGCTGCCCAGGGAAGCTGTGGCTGCCCCATCCCTGGCAGTGTTGAAGGGCAGGTTGGATGGGGCTTAAAGCAGCCTGGGCTGGTGGGAGGTGTCCCTGCCCATGCAGGGGATGGAACTAGATGGTCTTTAAGGTCCCTTCCAACCCAAACCCTTCTGTGATTCTGTGACTCTATTATTATATGCTGGCCTCAATGACTAAAGCGTTTTTGTTTCTCTAATCCCATTAATTCCAATACAGCTAAGAAGGAGTGAGATAAATTATTTTCCTTAGCCCAGTCTGAATTTCTTGTACTTACATCTGCTCTTACACTAAGGTATGCACCTCCTGTGGTCACAGTCTTGTTTATGTTTTACTTTTTCAAGAGACTACCAGTTGCAAATTTAATTCCTATGGTGTAGACATGCTCTTCCTCCACCTTTCACCTGGCGTGAACTTGCTCTGATGTTTTCACAGCAAAAGTTCAAGATGTCCCAACTGGGTGCCTGTTTCAAGCCATAATCT